CAGCAGGCTGTGCGCCCACGACTCGCCGCCGGCCGGCGGGCCCGCGTCCGGCGGCGGGCCTCCCTCGTGGCGCCCAATGTGCTCGTGCCACAGGCCGGGGGCGCGCTGCCGCATGGAAGACTCTGAGAAGAACTCCCCGCCGCCCTCCAGCTGCTGCATCTTTGCCCAGCGCCTGTTTTTCACATGGGTCGGCAGCCTGGTTTGCGGGCCGGCCGCATCCCGCAGCGGCTCCGCGGCGGCCGCCGCGGCCGCGGCGGCGGTGGCGGCCGCGTGGCGCGCCTCGAGCTGCGCCATGTAAAGCGCGGCCCGCTCGACGGAGCTGCCGGGCACGGCGGCGGCGGCGGCAGCTGCCCTCGAGGGCTGCGCGTCTGCGGTCGACACCATTGAGGCAGCGGCTGCCGTGTTGTGGGCCTAGCCTAAAAGGTGTTTGCAGAAACGGTTGAAGAGAGAGGCTTGCACCGTCTGCCCGATACACCTGAGGAGGGGCCCGTTTTATGCGGCTGCTGCAACGCTACAAGAGTCGCCGCGCCACACGCGCAAGTGGAAGTGCGCGGGTGTGACTGGTGCACGACGGCGGCGATCCGCCCTGTGAGAGGCCTTGAGCGGATATCCAAAGCGGGGCGCTCTGTAAACACGATCTGTTTGCCAGGATGCCAGGCGTGCCAGCCTCTGCCGATCGCCTGTGCTGAACCGTATGCCTGAACTGGCTGCCTGCCTTGAAGAATGGTCAGTTTTGATTGGAGAGAATTCGTCTATCCAAACAAATCCATAACACGCGCTTACTTGCATTCGAATGAAGGATCCTGGCGAAAGGTGCCGGCTGACAGCGTTCCGCATGAGTAAGGCAATGGCCGGCTCAGTCACGATGCTTCTTGCCTCACACAAGTATCCACAGATTGCGCGCAAGGGTTGACTGCACAGTTTTCAGCCTGGGCACAAAGCCTGGGGTGTTATCAGATGCAGCTTTCGGTGCTCGTTCGGTTGCGGCAGCAGCGGCAGCAGCACAGCCCTGGCCGCCCGGCGCCTGCAACATTTATAGATGCCGTAAGTGTTTTATCGTGATAGCAGGGATGCAAGACGCTGCGGATGACCTTACTACGCCAGGTTCGTGGGCCCAGCCCACAATCAGCCCCCTTGACCGCGTTGACCATGCCTCCAGCCACGCCTTCAACAAGTTTGTTAGATGGCTCAACAGCAAGCATGCAATGATGACTGACAAATCATTATGCAGTGCTAGTGGATTAAATTAGTGCTCATAGCCTTGCAAATTTGCTGTGTGGACAGACACGCTATTTTTCAGGTGAACATTAGCTTGCTAGACGAATTTGGTGATGTATAAAGAGGAGGAATCAAACGGAATCTGCAACAGAGAAGCAAGCATGCGAAATACAATGGCATTTGTCACAGCGTGCACTCCTGCAGGCTCCACACGCAATAGCCGTATGCCAAAGCAGCTGTTCGTTACTACAGTGCCTCGAAGGCTAGGACCGGCATGCATTACTCCGAACAATCTGCACATGTCAATCAGCTGCTCCTGCGCCCCGCCTTGTGCTAGCACCCGCAAAAGTGCGTGCCAAGCGCATGGTTGCGAGGGTTGGTTGGCTGACCAATCTGTGCAAATCTCGCGGTGGTCAGCGGTGAGCTCGGGGCCGCAAGCTTTGCCAAACGTACGTGATGACTTGACTCGCTCTTTTGGAGCAATGTGTGGTTGGCTGCCACTGGAGGACTCCTAATTGGTGGCTGGAATGCAGAGGTGCAGCACTCTAGTGTGCTTAGTGGCTGAAAGGAAGGTGGTCTTGCATTTCTTACCTGAACAGGCTGCACAGCGGTATAATCAACTTCAATCATCTTCAAATGCTTTTTGCACGAACAGCACAGCCAAAGAGGTGGTGATTTGCTAGCAAAAAGTCACCGAAGTAAAAACAACTTGGCTTGCGCACAAATTCATTTAGACATGCACAGGTGCGCACGTACAGGTATACACAAGATAAATTCATCAATTTATACAAATATAATGTCTCCTCGCGCGCTTTGATTTGAGCGAGAATTCGTTGCAAACCCGCGGCGCGCGCAGACCATCGTGATAGAACTCCGGCACAGAGCTTGCGCATTGATGCCTATTCGCATCATGTAAGCTTCGCTCGCAGGGGTACGGCAATCCGTGATGGAAGCGCTAGCAGGGGCGAACGCCAGGCTCACGTGGATGCAGTAACAGAGTCCGTAAAACACCACTTATGAGTTCAAGTCCATACAGCTGAATGAACGCACGGGTGCCATTTGAGCATGATAATCAGCCAAGGGGTGACATCATGCAGCTGCCGCTGCATCGCATGCCCGCTACCATGCTGACAGAGGTGCTGCAACCCCACCAGCAAATATGGTCTGCCGCTCTGCCGCTCTGCCGCTGTGACGCTG